AGACATTCAATTGATTTGACTAACATAGTTTGTAAAATAACTTTTACTTTCCAAGTAAAGTTATTGATTTAAAAAAAATCCATTATCCCTCATGTACAGACTGAATCAAACCGAGTCTGCAATTTTCATGTCATTTTGCTTGTTTCAATGCTTCCGATGGACCACTTTTTCCATATATTTATAAATCACAACAGCTGATGTGTGGCAGTCGTAAAATGTGACCCCGTTCTTCACATCAGTGTTGTTATATTTTGCTTGATTCCGGCATATAAAGTGTTGATTTTTGAGTACCGCTCAATCCGGTGCTATACGTCGTGAGGTTGTTGCACTTTTTTCATTATCGCTCATGTACAGACCCATGTTTTCTTCCTAAGTATAAAAAAATGCAACAATCCTCATGCGCCATAGCTTTGACTTGAGCGGTTCTCATTTTTAACACTTACAGAGCTGGAATTGCTGATCCCAAAGGACCTGAAAAAATATATCAACACTTAATTAAACCTATCAATGGTAAACCAATGGATTTACACTTTAATCGAACCCATAAATGTTGAGCAATAACCAAGTAACCAAGTGGTGTCATATCCCGTTTTTGTTTCGGTGCCTTCTGGGAGCCCTGCTGGCATAGACGGGTTGTATCAGGTCTGCGTAATGTTAGCGTCGCCTTGTTGTGTTGATCCTTGTTCACATTTTCCACAGCACTATTCAGTACCTTCCATAAACAAGCTCAATTAAACAATTTTGTCGTTTTAGACGTTCTTTAGGGAATCTGTTTTTTTTTCTATTTTAATACTCATGCCTGGTCTGCAATGGAATACGGCATCCCGCCTCTTATCTTTGTTTGCGCCCTTTGACAGTTGTCAATAATAAGCTCTTATTCAATTTAATTAAGTAGCCAGAGACCTGATGTTTTTAGAAAATATGATAGGACCAAACGTTGTTTGAAAATGTTTGAAAGAATTGTTTGATTGTTGTTTTTTATTTAAGAGAATAGAATTATGTGCACATTTTTCTTGTGAAGGTGAGAGCATGAGCGGTTCAGGTGTTGTCAAGTCAGATATTATCTAGTTGTCATCTGAATAAGAACAATTTCCTGTCATGCATGCAATAGTATTCATTTGTTTCATTTTGGCTTAAGAATTATCTGGAAAATCCTCAGGTCTACAGTAAGGCCCCCACGGTTACACGTTTAAACGGATTCGTTTCGATTACCATTCGTAAACGTTTACAATAATTTTTACCGTTCAATCGAAATGACCATAATGTCTTCCAAAATATCTTAATCATTGCCTGTAATCACGGATTTTATCAATTCTAATTGGTTTATTCCAAAGTAAAAAAGGAAAATGGGTGTTAACAACCCTCCACACAGCATCAATGTGCAGTAATCGCTTGTGACGTAATACATTTTTGGTAAAGTTGATTTTTCCTTGATCTTTCAAAACAGTGAAATGGGGATACAATGCAGAAAAGGTGTGCCGACACAATTATGATGAGCCCTGAACATTATTTATTTGTACAAGTATCAAAAAAAGAAAGAATGTCATTATTTAGCGACTTGAATACATGGTGTAGTATAGTACATAGAAGTACCGCCGTTTAAACGGTATCGTGTCAGTTGCTAGCAATCGTGTAAACGTTTACAAACATTTGTAAACGTGGGAGCCTTAGTCTACAGTACAGATCTACGGTCCGTCAGTCTGAAAACTGAAGTCAATTTCTGCGGATTATATTTAGCTTTGGCTGCACAATTATTCAGGGTTTGTACAGTCTTAAAATGTGCTTAAATTTGAGTTTCTTTCTTAAAAAGTGCCTAAAAATGTAAAAAAAGTGCTTAAAAGTCCTTGAATTTGATTACTCTCTTGAAAAGTGCTTAAAAAGTGCTTAAATTTGCTAAAAATGTGCTTGAAAATGTTTGAATCACAGAATGACATAGTTATGATAAAAATCAACAGTTAACAAAATAAAAAAAAGATCAAATTTAGTATCAAAATCAATGAAATGTTTACTCAAGGTAACAGTAAGTGGACAAATTGCAGTTGTTTTGAACTAATCTGTACTTGATGCACCCTTAGTTGTTCTTCTATAATGTTAGAAAATGTGTATTTAACAAAAAATGGCGAACAAACTATCCATCATAGGTTGAAGATTGTGTCGGTATATGTGCAACAAATGTGCTTGAAAAATGGGAAAACGTGCTTAAATAGTGCTTAAAAAGTCCTTGAATTTTGGCATTGGATGTCTGTACGAACCCTGTTATTACATCTGTTCTTCATTGTTGAGCTTTGAAAATGACTCTTGAAAATGTCATTTAAATCTAAAATAGTGGTTGCAAGTGGCTATATGTACAGTCAATTTAACAACATCTTGAAATGCACTGAGAGTCCTTTACGTCATTTTGCACATGCGCTCATTCACTCACCCATTATCAAAAAACGGTGCCTAGTTTCAATGCTGCCAAAATATAAAATGACACAGATCTTGCCATAGTTAAAGTAACATAAATATTAAAAATATAGGTCAAGAGGAGAGAGGTACGTTCACGCTTGTTACTGAGTTCACATGTTAAAAAATCTACATGTAACTGAATTTTGAATTGTTTTATTACTCTGTCTTATATGATCGGTAAAGTTGACTAAGTAATAGATTCTAGGGACGATCCTATTTCCGAGCTTATGTCTGCATTTAACACAAGGGATGTTGCACTTATTCATTATCCCTCATGTACAGTCTCTTTTTTTTGAACCACGTTTAAGGCCCGTTTATTTACATTTACCCTTTTACATAATACATTCATTGTACATTTTTCAATTAATTATTTTACATAACATACGTAAAAAACTAATATATATGTTGTTGTAGACATTTTAAAATAATTTCAAAGAGCTTAAACGTGAATCTCTTTAAGAAAATATTAAGAAAAAGGATATTATATTTTAAACAAGATAAAGTTTTGTTAAATCAATTTTAAAAATTTCCTTGAGTCAGTTGGAAAAATGCTGAAAAGTTTGGGGAGTTGCTAAAATATAAAAGGATAATTTGCAAGAGAAAAAAAAACTGTAGTAAACAAAAACATATTTTTCCAACAAACTACGATAAGATAAAAAATAGGTAATATTAAGAAAGTAAGGCTGCTTTGGTAATATACTTCTGACCTATCATCAATCAGTTCTTATAACATTATTAGAAAGTTATTCCACTTCCTGTTGAAATCATCAAGAGAATCATTTTGAAATGCTATGTATTTTTCTAAAGATATTCTATCAATCAATTTTCCTTTAAACACAAGATTATTTGGTATTTTCTTTTTTGTTTTACAACTATATATATAATATTTGGCAAATAAGAGAATATATGATAAAATTTTATTTCGTGAATGAAAAAAGGACAAAAATTTGTCTTGGGTTGCATGTATACCAATTTCAACCAACCATTTAAACAATTCATTCCAGAAAATTTGTGTTTGTTGACAAGTCCAAAATATATGTTCTATGCTATCTATTTCCATATTACAAAAATCACAAACGCTAGACTCCACTAATTTACATCTAAAGAGAAATTTGTTAGTTGCAATATTTCTATGTAAGAAATCAAAATAAAAATTTTGCAAAATATTATCCTTACAAATATCAAACGCATTTAAATATATTTGTTGCCAATTGACATTTTTATCTGGAAATACAGCCTCCCATTTTAACTGGGATTTTAGTTTTTCATTCTGGTATTTTAGCCTACTTTCTTTTTGAACCTGTGTTAATTTTCTATTTGGGAGATGTGTTTCTGTTTTTTCTAAAAGCTCAAAATATTTATTTCCTCAGTTGTTACAGAAAGAATGATATTATCTAATTTTCTTTTCCAACATGTTGGGATTGAAGAGATAAGTCTATGGTAATTTAAAAACTCAGTATTAGGAATGTTATATTCAGTTTTTAATTGACTAAAAGTTTTGCGTTTGTATCATAGATATCTTTTACATGGTATGTATTTTTGCTTCTCCACTGTAGAGAAGGCTATTGTATTTTTTATGTTTGAATTTTGCCAAATAATTTGTTCTGAAATATTTTTCGGATTTTCATTAAAATTGATTTCACTCCAAGCTACTTATACTTCGTGTATAAATTTATTTTTGATTTTAAATTTCAATATATCTTTTGTGTTTATATTGCATTTAAATAAAGATATTCCACCTAAATGATTAATATTTTTCTTTATTATTTCTTTCCACAACCCATTATTTGAATCGTTTATTATTCCTTTTATCCAGTTTGATTTCATGTACAATCTCAACCAAACCGATTCTGCAATTTTCATGAAATTTTGTTGTGATAAATGCTTCCGAGGGATCACTTTGTTTCTAGATTTTTTTACTAAGTAAGAAACCTTTTATTTGACTTGTACATGTAATTCATTATTGCACGTAAAATAATAATTAATTTTTTATGTTCTTTTACAATTTTACTAAACTTTTCTCCGAGTTCCTTGCCAGTGGCCCTGGATGTTTTTAGTTTTTCTTTTTGATCTTTTCGAGATGTGTGGGTTCCAATATTCCTGATATAATATTTTTTAATCGCCCTTATGATATGTTGCATGTTTATTTAAATTGTCTTTTAACGTTTTTTTCAGTGATAAACAGGCCCTGATCTCCTTTCAAAATTCCATTTTCTTTAGTTCCACGCATTGATTTCTTGTTAAGGGCACACGCATTCTTTTACTTGCGGACCATACGCCGATTTTCATGGAATGGCACAAAGTGTGTGTCTCATTGAAGGTTCCATGAAAACTGCGGATGTTCTTAAATTCCAAATATCACAATTTCAAATTTGAATGATGAGTTCTGCTTGGGGGCGTGGACGGTAGCTTTCAATTTCCATTACCGTCCATGGGCATTTTTTAGGGATTCTTTGTTTTGTTTGGGGGAGGAGGATCACACAAATTTTGTATATATTCGGTTTCAAATTTTATTTTAGATGCTAAATAAAATCTTTTGTAATATATTTTAGATGTCTTCCAAATTGAAGAGGTTAGAGCAGGACACACGAAAACTAAAAGCGAAAAACATGTACTCGTGGAGACATCCGATTTACCCATGGAGACATTCGATTTTCGGCCTTTCATCGACTGAAACTCTGTAGTGAATATAATCCTGACGCTGACATTTGTTTGTGTATATATATAACGATTTTAGTTGTCGCAATATGTCTGAGAAACGAAATTATTTTCATTCTGAATAAATGTCAAACATTAATTTCACAAACTTTAAATTACGTTGCATGCTTATTCATGGCCTGAAGAAAGTAGCACTGAATGCGAATAGAAATTAAATGTAATTTAAATTGTATTTTGAGTTCCATTCAAACTACCAATCATTATATTAATGTACTAATTGGCAAAAGCAACAGTTGCAAAAGATGGTTCAGGTAACTGGCCAACGTATAAAGTTCTGGAAATTATAAAAGGAAAATTAAAAAAAAGATTTTCAGAAATAAAAATAAAAGCTAGCATATCGGAGAGATAATTGGCCGTTTTTTTACACTTGGGGACCATATGCCGCTTTTCATGGAATGGCACTAATGTGTCACATTGAAGGTTCCATGATAACTTTCATATAAACACATCTGCGGATGTTTCAATATTCCAAATTTTTCAGATCATGTTAAATGTAAAACACTGCTTAATCCGGCGCCAGGGGGCGTATACGGTAACTTGCACATTCTATTTTCGTCCATGAACAGGACTAATCAAACCGAGCGTCCAACATTGTCAATGTTTTCGTTTTTATACGTTTTTAAGGATTCTTTATTTCTCTCTGTTTTTTTTAAAAAAATCACGTTACTACATTTAAATAACTTATGATTTCCCATACCTTTATTTTATGCATTCATTATTGTCTCATTATTTTTATTTGTTAATTTTTTAAACCTTTAATTAGTTACTGAAACATAAATTGCTTAAAGCAGAACAATATTTATTTGAAAACCACACAACTAATATAGAGATAAATAAGAATCCCTAAAACATGCCTAAACGGTAAAATTGAAAATGTTGCAGGCTGTTTTGAATTAGCCTGTACATGGACGGTACTGTCTTGTTCAAACTATCGTCCACATCCCCTAACACTGGCTTACGCAGAATTCAACATTTAAACATGAAAATGGTGAATGTTTTATCTTAGAAACCTTTTCAGATGTGTTCTTAAAGCGGTTATCATGGAACCTTGAATGTGGCACATTTTAGTCTGACTTTAGAAGGGGGTTCACTGCGCTATTTTTTTTAACTGGCACATATCTAAGATTCCGAGTGTGGTTACATATTTTTTACGGATAACCCTTACGGCGTTTTTGACCATTTGTATTGTTTTAGTCGATGTCATTAAAACTTATCTGAGAAAATTACATACGTTGTTGTTATACCAAATAAGTTGTTATTTAGTCAACTTGTTAAAAATTCTGGAAACAAAGTGATCCCTCGAAATCATTAATCCCCTCAAAATTACAAGAGAATTGCAGACTCGGTTTGATTGAGTCTGTACATGAGAGATAATGGTTAAGTGCAACATCGCTCACGCCCCCTAGCACCGGCTTGAGCGGTACTCAATTCTCAACACTTAATAGTGCTGGCATCAATGATGCCGAAGGACCAGAAAATATAACAACACTGAAGTGAAGTACGGGGCAACTTTTTACAGCTGCCACACGGCACTTGACATCTGCTGTTGTGAAGTAAAAAATTCTGGAAACAAAGTGATCCCTCGAAATCATTAATCCCCTCAAAATTACAAGAGAATTGCAGACTCGGTTTGATTGAGTCTGTACATGAGAGATAATGGTTAAGTGCAACATCGCTCACGCCCCCTAGCACCGGCTTGAGCGGTACTCAATTCTCAACACTTAACAGTGCTGGCATCAATGATCCCGAAAAACTATTTTTTCAAAACTAGAAACACCTCCAATGCATTTAGTCAACACATTTATGGTTCTTGGGCATATTTTTAATCCATGACGGTTTTGGTTTAAGTAATTTACTATTATAAGGGAAACATTTTGTGCTGAAACAAAAGAATTGGCATTCTGATAAAATATGATAAACAAGATCGACAAGGAAAGGCGGCATTCAATGAACGCAGCCCCCACCCGACCCAGCAACAAGCGCCAGCGGCAAGGAGCCCAGGAGGACCCCAAAGAAAAACAGGACAGGGCACAAGGCAGAGTACGGGCAGGCAAACCACTACATCAGAATACATTATAAGTAACTTATAAGGAAATAAAACAAAACAAATAAATGATTTAATATAAGGCCCACAATGTCAAAAGGCACAGGGGAAGGGGACATGAGACACGGGGAAGGGGGGGAATAAAATAAATATAAACCAGGGACAAAGGGAAGATACTTACCGTAGACGAGAAACAACAAGAGACACGAGCAAAAGTGTCACCAAAACAGTATAAAACAACATAGACATTCATCTGAGGAACACAGAGGGGCGCCGCCTTGGAACGGTCATAAATCAATACAGGGAACGAACTTAATGTCATGTTGTTGTGGCTACTTTTCACGACCGATTTATGGTGGTGGCTACAAAAATTGCGGATATGGTTTGTTTTAATAAAGATTATCTTCTGTGTGGTTTATTTCTTTAACCCTGCTCGCTGCGCCAGTAAAACCCACAAGCCTTCATGACTCGTCGAGGAATGGCAACTGACTAGTGATCTGCTTTCTTTAGGGATTCTTTATTTATCTATTTTATGATCACATCCGTGTTATTTGTGCCGTGTGGCGGCTGTAAAAAGTCTCCCCGTACATTTAATCAATGATGTTATTTTCGATCCTTGAAGATCGTTCAGCACGACATTATTGTTGTGCTTGTGGTACTTTTAGTTTCAACTTTTCGGCATTTTCTAGTTGGGTGGTTCCAATATTCCTACTTGAATAATGTTGAATCACCCTTAGGATATGTTGCCTGCTTTTTAAATTTGTCTTTTGACTTCTTATCTGTGATACGCAGGCTTCATAACCTCTGATCCCCTTTCAAAATTCTATTTTATTTAGTTCCGCCCATTGTTTTCTCGTTTAGGGCACACGCTTTTTATTACTTGGGGCTTTTCATGGAATGGCACGGAAGTGTCACATTGAAGGTTCCATGATAACCGCCGTATGAACACATCTGCGGATGTTTCTAGATTCAAAATTCTACCATTTCATGCTTAAATGTTGAATTCTGCTTAAGCCGGTGCTAGGGGGCGTGGACGGTAATTTGCACTTTCCAGTACCGTCCATGAACAGGCTCAATCAAACCGAGCCTGCAACATTTTCAATTTTGCCGTGTTGGGCTTTCTTTAGGGATTCTTTATTTATCTATTTTGTTGTAGGACTTTTTATTTTCGAGTTAAGCCTTTAGGACTTATACGTTGGGAATCAAGCAAGGAACTGCCCAATCGCGCATGCCTCGATCCTTACTTCTGTACAAATTCCGGTGACGTACCGTTCCGTACCAAACGTATCCCTGTCATATAGAATAAGACGTATTTTTGGAAACTTTCAAAGATGTAAGAACAGGCTGACACAGCCCTTAAGTCATAAAACTGAGGTTCTGCTAATGCTGCACTTGTCTGCATTCTTCAACCATTTTACAAGTCAAATTCTTTAGGGATAAACAAAGCTCCGTTAACACTAAACTTGTCTGTAGGGTTATCCTAAAGAGAGTACAGATTCTGACGAATACGAATATTTAGCTTTATTTTTTAAGGTAAAAAGTACATCTGTGTTTGCTAATCACATCACCCATGTCTCCCAGTTGTTTTCGCTGATGTCCTTTCAAAATAAGGCATGCGTTTCTAGCAGACGCCTGTTGTCAGGGACCCCCTCTGGAGGTTGGTTATCTGGTATTTGTCAAAATAAGTATCTGAACCAAAGGAACATTTAGGAAATGTCTCCAGCCAGCCTATCAACCTTTTTACCCCAAAGGACTGAGTCCCCTGTGTGGGCGCGCCATATAAGGTTGGCACTGACTTCCCCTGCATGTTAGTCAGTTCTCTTGCACTTGTGTAAAATTAGAGGGCGATCTGGCATACTGAACTGAAGTTATCTGACTATGATCAAATATGATAAACAAGATCAACAAAGAAAGGTGGCGTTCAATGAACGCAACCCCACACGACCCAGCAACAAGAATAGCGGCAAGGAGACCAGGAGGGCGCTAAACAAAAACAGGACAGGGCACAAGGCAGAACACGGACAGGCTGATTACTAAAATGATGAATAATTTGTAACTGATAAGAAATTAACAGAAAACAATTAAATGATTGAATAATAAACCCACAAAGACAGAGGGCACAGGGAAACAGGATATGAGATTCGTGGAAGGGGGTGGGTGTAAATTAAAGAAAGGAAACTAGAGGCAAATGGGAAGATACTTACCGTAGACGAGAAATCAACAAAGGACACAAACAAAAATGTCACCAAAAACAGTATGAAACTACAAATACATAAACAGAGGGGCGCCGCCTTGGAACGGTCAGCTGTATAAGTACTGCTGCGGAGTTTAAACCGGTTAATGGTGCACCAAACCTCACTCTTAGCCCCACCACGTTCCTTTAAACGAGACAGTGCAAAAAATGAATCCCGACAAGTGAAATTCTAACAGTTTTTATGGTTACAAAAGGTGAAATAAGTAAAACACCGTAATGCTCATGTATAAACATATAAAAGAAAACCCAATGACCATAACAAAAGTACTCAATGTCTTAAAGGAAGACAGAGCAACAAAGAGATCACCTACAAGGGCCCATTCAAGTCCCAATATGTTTCTGTTTCTGTCCTGTCGATCCCTATTATTCTCGTGCAACAACTTTGAAAGACATCAGAAAGCTTAGAAAATAAAATGATAAACAAGATCAACAAAGAAAGGCGAGGTTCAATGAACGCAACCCCAAAACGACCTAGAAGGTTCTGATAGGCGAGATCATAAAAATATGACACTTCTCATGATGAACAACTCCTATGGCCGAACCAAACCCCTTGACGCTTGACAGTATCTCCGGAAAGCACTCGAGGTCACTTAAAACCCCCTGATTAATGTACCGAAGATCCGTTGGAAGAACTCCAACCTAGGCCGCTTTTCATGGAATGGCACTAACGTGTCACATTGAAGGTTCCATGATTACCGCCATATTAACACATCAGCTGATGTTACAAAATTCAAAATTGTACAAGTTCATGTTAAATGTTGAATTCTGCTTAAGCCGATGCAAGGGGGCGTGAACGGTAGTTTGAACTTAATAGTACCGTCCATGAACTGGCTCAATCAAACCGAGCATGCAACTTTTTCTATTTTGCTGTGTTGAGCTTTCTTTAGGGATTCTTATTTTCTCTATTTTATCGCCACATCAGCGTTGTTTGTGTCGTGTGGAGGCTGTAAAAGTAGCCCCGTACATTCAATCAGAGATGTTATATTTCCGATCCTTAAAGATCGTTCAGCACGACATTATTATTGTGCTTGTGGTAAAGTAGTTCTTTCTATTCGGCTATTTTCTTGTTGGGTGGTCCCAGTATTCCTCACTTGAATACTGTTGAATCCCCCTTAGGACATGTGGCCTGCTTTTTAATATTTGTCATTTGACGTCTTATCTGTGATATGCAGTCTTCATAACCTCTGATCCCCTTTCAAAATTCGATTTTATTTAGTTCCGCCAGTTGTTTTCTCGTTTAGGGCACACGCATTTTTTTCTTGGGGACCATATGCCGCTTTTCATGGAATGGCACTTACGTGTCACATTGAAGGTTCCATGATTACCGCCATATGAACACAACTGCGGATGTTACAAAATTAAAAATTGTACAAGTTCAATTTAAATGTTGAATTCTGCTTAAGCCGGTGCTAGGGTGCGTGGACGGTAGTTTTCATTTAACAGTACTGTCCATGAACAGGCTCAATCAAACCGAGCCTGCAACATTTTCTATTTTGCCGTGTTGAGCTTTCTTTTAAGGATTCTTATTTTCTCTACTTGATAAGGCCAATCACAGCCTCCCTTCCCATGATAACCGCCGTATGAACACATCTGCGGATGTTTCTAGATTCAAAATTCTACCATTTCATGTTTAAATGTTGAATTCTGCTTAAGCCGGTGCTAGGGGGCGTGGACGGTAATTTGCACTTTCCAGTACCGTCCATGAACAGGCTCAATCAAACCGAGCCTGCAACATTTTCAATTTTGCCGTGTTGGGCTTTCTTTAGGGATTCTTTATTTATCTATTTCCATAGAAGGTCTTACTTAGCCTGTCTGCGTGAAATTAGGAGTCAAATGCTTCCAGGTCATTTGGCAGGCTGGCAATTTAAAGAAATTGTTTTCAAATCTGGAGAAAGAGTGATCCTTCGGAAACATTAATCAAATCAAAA